ACCAAACATAAAATTCATGGCCCTATTCTTGGCTTTCTGAAAAAAGCCTGACACCTGAAACCAGACCTACAGGGATCAAATACAGGTGTCATGGGTCCGGCAGCAGATTTCATTACACTGGAAGATTCTTCATGGAAGCACTGAGTATACCAAGTCCTTCTGAATTCAGACAGTGGAAACATACTGATCATGATTGGAGAAATGGATTATCAAGGTCTGACAAAATCCTCAGCTCCAGAATGTTAAGATCCCTGGCCCATTAACAAATTCTAGATGCTTTCTTAGCAGGCTCAAATTAAATACCACCCATTTTTAGTCGTAAAAGTGGCTGCTAAGACCACAAGTACTCTGAATGAGAAAAGAAGCTAACAATCTTTGTTTGGAACTTCTTTAGTTCCTATAATAAACACTGTAGGACTAGAGAAATGAGTTCAATATCATTGGTTGGCTCTCTGATTGTCTAGTCACATACAAGACATCCTGACTACAATTCACATAAGAGGGCCAATGGAGTATCATAAGTTTTTGGCTCTTAATTTGAAGGCCACAACAATTTCTCAGGGGAAAAGAATGGACATTTGCAGTGAGTGTTGAGCAGTCAGCTGCTCCCCAACAGTTTCTCCCTGGAAGTCAAAATATGAAGGTTCCACCAGTTTCTTCATTCAAAGTGATTTAGAAATGGTCTAAACACTAGCTGGGTGGTGAAAAAAGTAGTCTCTAGTCTAATGACATGAAATGTATTAAGGAACCAGCTCCAGTCACCAAGATTAAGCAGGAAGAAAGTATCAGTTGCATAATTCACCAGCCTTCAATGAAGACCCCAGCTCAAGTCTGCTGATAAATCAGCAGAACCATGAAATTCAAGACTGAGGATGCCAATCACTTCATCTACCAAGAAAAGCAAAAAAAGGAAGGTGATAGTGGTAGCAGTGGTGATATGAAACCCAAATGGAGTTTCTCTGTTCACTGAATTAATTCTTCATTTCACTGAAATAATGGTAACAAACAGGATCAGCAATGATGCCCCAGTGACTAATGAGGCTTCTAAATTTCAATGTTATGCCCCATGTGGTTGAATAGGGGGCAAAAGAATAGTTTTTTCAATCCAAACAAGGGATCAGAAGATGGGGAGTGATGCCAATGAGAGGAGCTCATCAGTAAGAGGTAGAGACCTCTTCTTACCTTTGAGTTGGAGGCATGTCCCAAACCAATAAGCCCAGCACCAGGGGGAAGGGGATGGCCTGTCACTGCTGAATATCTTGAAATCTGACTAAGTAATGTGTGCTAAACTTTCTTCCCAGCTCTAGGAGTCAGATTCTTCAAAGTGAAACTGATCTTCAGAGAAGGTTGGAACCCTAAATTCTAAACACAGACACTTTTTGCTGGTCAGTGACAAACAAAATATCCCTTAAGGCCAAAGGTGATCATAGTCTTAAGATGTGAGGTACATATGCAGTCTGTGTCATTACTACTGAAGCTTAACAGAAAAAGTGAATTTGAGAACTAAAAGCATTCTCAAGTCCTATAGACTGAAGAAACAAAAGCAGCAAGGACAAATGTGATGTTTAAGTAGGAGCACTCTGACAGTACATGCACTGTTGTGTACAGATGTACATTGTCTTAACAGTTATCAATAAAAGGATTATCTGATTTACAAAGTGGTGCTACAAAAGCACCAGGGGACCACAGACCTGTTGGAAGATAACTCAAGAAAGAAACATCCTTTAAGGAAAAGGGTTTGGGGCCAGACCTTGTCATCCTTAGAAGGTATGTCTAAGGACGGTAGTATCAGGCTGTCAGTCTGAAAGTGCAGTTTTGAGTAAAAGCCAATTCAGCTAATTCACACATTTGCATTCTCAAATAAAAAGCTAATTTTAAGAAAGACTGAAATTTAAAAGCACTTACATAAAATGGCCTGTGCCATCACTTGCCAACTAGCCACATGCGATTTGAAAGAGGGAATGTGTCGGGTTCTTTTTAATTTTATCTTTAAAGCAATAGGAACAAAGCAAGTACTTTGGACTGCTGGCTTCTCTGCCTCCGCCAGGCTGATCTACTGCTATGGTGCTTGTGTCAACAAACTGCAGCAAACCAGAGCGAAGTAAAAACAAAGCAGCTGAAGCTCTGTATGGCATATACACTGGAAATGGCTTACGGGTCGTCCATGAAATCGTAGATCTCCCTCATGGCTACACCTCCCACATTGACAAAGAAGACAAGTCGCAAGAGGACCAAGTAGTGCTCTGGTGGCATCCACAGGACAAACTTCAAGTAAAATGTGTTCAGCTCTGCCAATAAAAACTGAGAGAAAAGAACATTTCAATAATTTAGTTCAAAAGGCTTCACTGCATGAAACCTAGATACCCTCATTTATTTCTGAAAGTTTGCACTTAAGCTTGTATGGAGCGGGTCACTTAAAGATAACGAGTAGAAAGTGTGCACATTATCTGCTTTGCATTAGGCAACATTACTTTTTGATCAGATCTTGAAGCACTGTTGAAAGTACCAAATGATGACATAGGCAGACAAGGTTCTTTGGGTTAGTCTAATAAAAGATATCAAATTCTTCCAGGAAGAGCACACACCAACTGCTGAAACTTCCTTAGCTTGACGAAGGGTTTTTGAACTCGAAAGCTTGCTTAATAACTATTCTCCAACTATTTGGGTTGGTCTAATAAAAGATATCAAATTCACCCAAGGAACCTTGTCTGCCTATGTCCTTAGACCAACACAGCTACAACCTACACCCCTGCAAATGATGACATATGTACTTAAGTTCCAGACTGGAGATGAACAGCTCCACTAGAACCTAATGGCAAAACTCCCATTAGTTCCAACAGGCCCAGAATTTCAGGCTAGCAATTGGAAGCCCACTAAGGCTAACAGGGACTGCCTTGCTAGTCTTGGCCTCCAAGATTAGTTACTAGAAAAGGTCTGAGAGAACAGGAGAAGGAAACATCTCGCTTTGGGAGTTCCTACCCCTGGGCTGCTATGAATAAAAGAGAGGAGGGACAGTTAGGAGCAAACAGATCAGGAAGGAGTATCAGAACTTTCCTATGATAAACCATAAGTTAATTGAATTTAAATGACAGCAGGGAAGCACTGTGTGCCCTTCTACCTTACCGAGTACATGTAAGCTATGCCCCAGCATAAGAACTTGCCTATAGAAGAAAACACCCCAGAAGAATCATCACTGAAGCGGATTATGCCGAAGTGCATTAAAGCCCTCACAGGGTATATCTGCTCTGTGATAACCATGACTGCATACCCAAGGTAGCTTTAATCTAGGTAGGCATTGTTACTAGTTGCATTGGCACAGAGCTTAGCTGGTATTATTTTATCTTGCATCTCAGGCAGACATGTCAGACTATGCTGAGCTCTCTGCTGTGAAGTCTAGACTTCTACTGATACCTGAACAAGCTAGTCTTAAAGCTAGACCCTAGATTCCCACTGGTCCTAGTAGCTGTGTAACTTTAGATATGACAGAGAACAAGGCTGACAAGACAAAGAAGTCAGAAGGAAAAGTGTGGAAAATGTTCTTCCTCAGATTTTCTGTTCTGTAGTTACATGTTCTCTCTACTGAAAAAAAAAATGAAATTTGAACCAAAAAAAACAAAAACAAATCTGAAGCTGGAGATAAAATTACTTTCAGCTTTCTAAGGCTGCATAAGATTTCAGTCTATATAGGGTCCTGCCACGTCCATTGTTATATGATGCGGGAGTCAGAACAAAAACTAAACTTAAAATTTATTTGGGATGTAGTGTGGGACCTTTTTTTGTATTAGTGTGTCAGGTAAAGCGTGGTAACAGCTTTATATCCAATTCTAAGGATGTTCATTTGGTGACTTAACTCTTAAGAAATCTCAGGTCTGATGGATTCAAAAAGTATAAGCAAGCAATTGAGCTTTGTGCACTATACAAACAGCATTGATGAGACCTCAGCTCAGTAACAAGAATTAAGCAATCAAGACTCGTAGTAGAGATGATATGTTTTATTAGACCAACAAGATTTTTGCAAAAAAAAATCTTTAATTGCAAGCTTTTGGGCACAAACACCCTTTATCAGGCATTGGAGAAAAGATTGTAAAAGTTCTCCTGGGTAGAAATTAAAGTTCATATTTCATAGGATTTCACAGAGGAGTCAATAGATAGAAAACTCCTCTGGGTAGTCTATTCATAGCTGGTATGGAGCCTTTGACCTCCTGTGAGGATCTGTGATGATGCAAATTACCTTGAAACAAGGCAGGGGCAGGATCTCAGGTTTCAGGTGGTCAGTTGCTTCCTGCTTAGGAAAATATGATGATTTCATTTAAAAAGCTTGCATCATCACAGATCCTCACAAGAGGTGAGAAGCTCCATACCAGCTATGAATGGACTGCCCAGAGGAGTTTTCCAGCTATTGACTCCTCTGTGAAATCCTATAAAATATCAATTTTCATTTCTACCCAGGAGAACTTTTACAATCTTTTCTCCAATGCCTGATGAAGGGCATTTGTGCCCGAAAGCTTGCAATTAAAGATTTTTTTGCAAAAATCTTGATGGTCTAATAAAACATATCATCTCTACTACGAGTCCTGATTGCCTTTGCCTTTAGACCAATATGGCTACAGCCTGGATACCTGTAACAAGAATTAGGCATTTAATGAACATGGTTCTTAGATGAACTGAGGTTTCAAGAGGCAGAATGAGGGGGATGCTGGGGGGAGGAAGGGGGAGGCGGCTTAACATTTTGGTTATGGTTGAGGAATATAGGAATTTTTTTATTCTGAATAAAAGTATTTATATCTTATCTTTTATTTAAATACTACTACTTAGTCAGCTAAATAAAACTTTTTATAAACCACAAAACAGCTGCCATGAGACAATCACTGTAATCACCCCAGATCAATATGAAATTGTCAGCTCCTTCATGCTTCAGATTCAGCTAACTAGTAAATTGATTTAACTGTGCATAGTGTGCAAGTCTGGTGGAAGGCTATTTGAAAACCATTCACATTATTTTAATACTGCTATTTTTACTGAGCCTTTCCATACAATTTCAATAATTCTATTTTGGCACAAGAATTTAATGTCTGGGAAGAGAAGTTTGATACTAAAGAATCTTCATTCAACTGATTGGTTCCTTTCATGCAAACTGTAAGCCTGTGCTGTTGACAATCCCACACTGCTTAATTGCTACAGATAACATATTGTTCCTTAGCACCTGCAACTTAACTTTTCCCATGATCAATTTAAAGACATCCCATTATCAACATGGTATGCCAGGCTGACCAATAAACTGCACAATGCTAAATGGATTAAAAAGGGTTGATTGGCAACCCTTGAAAGAGTCGACAAATCTTTTCATGGCAATCATTCACTCTCCCCTAATTTCAAAAGTGATTAAGCCACATATTAGAATAGCATGCTGATCAAATGTACAAATGCGTATATTATATATGTGAGCGTGTGTGCACGCGCGTGTGCACATGCACGCACACACAACATAATTTACTACAGTATATTATAGGATATCATATAACATATGTAAAATCTACATTTGATCAGTATGCAGTTCTAAGTTGTGGCATAATGTTAGATGTCACGCATACGTGTATACATATGCATGTATGTGTATATTTACATACATATATAAAGTAATAGCTAACATGCTTGTATTTTCAGAAAACATCAAAAGCATTTAAAATGCCCTTTGCACTTTTTCACTAACTTGGGACTGATCTGGGTTAATTATACTATCCTTGAAAACAAAACTATGTAACACAGTGTCTCATACCAACCAACATCAAAATGTTTAGGCTGCATATAATACTACTTTAATTATCCCTGATGTTAGAGAAACAGACATGAGCCAAAAGATCAGATACTGCCCAGTCCTGAAATGCTGAGCTTTAAGGTTTTGACTTGGAGCCACCTCCATTTTCAGTTGGTAGGTGTCTCCCTGGGAAATGAGGAGCAACACTGACTTACGTGAAATCTGCATTTTGAGTGGCAGCTTTTATTAATTTACTTAAGCATAAGTTGCATGTTAAATTACTTACACTTGACATCTATCATTTAAGCAAAAATTACTGTGAAAGAATCTAACAGAACTCAGTGTTCCAAGAGATGAACAGTCATTTGATCAATTAAAAAGCACAATGCTTCCTTACTATGAAAATGATGCCACAAACTGCTAGCCATCTGCGCAGGCTTGATGCTGGCTTCCACTCAAATTTGACCCAGCTATACGGAGTGAACTGGAAGACAATTCTCTTCATTTTACCTCTGGGGGGGGAAGGAGAACAAGAACAACCTTTAATCATCCCTCTAACACCAGTTTTAAGGAATGAAAGATACCCAAATTATGTCTTATTTCAGGCTTCAATTCAAAAGTTTTTTTTTCTGCACAGATCTAGGGATGCCTTGAGTTTGCCTTATATCCAATTCATTATTAAGTTAAAATTGCTGAGAGTCAGCCTCTCCTCATGAAAAATCCTGCTATAATATTGCATTATTGAGTCATACAAACTTAAATTCAGAGCTGTTGCAGTCAGTATATGAAGCTGTTTCAATTATGCATCATCTATTAAGGAGAATATAAAACAAGCTAATTCAGTACCAATAGTGTACACAACTGCGGCATGACTATTAAAGAACTTAAAATCATTTAAAGAGTTGAAGAAATAATATTTTAACTATCTTACTACTACTGAAATTTTGTATGCTAGTGATCTAGTCCCTCCAAATTGGGATCCCTTGGATGTCACCGAGTGCACCCCTGGGAGGTCAAAACAGATCCCCTTTTATCTTTCCTTCATGTTAGTACATACACTAGTCTGGTTTCCATGAACAACCACCATTTATAAACATTTCCTAATCAACGATTATCATCATTGCAGGAAGATATGTTTTTTAAAAATTCAGTGATTGTGTGAAAAAAAGATCATGTTAACACTTAATTCTGCAGTCATGTCATAACTAATGGGTCCTTCAATCTTCAAGTTCCTTAAATCACTGCTACAGCATGCAATTTAAATCCTTACAACTTGATGTTCCACAAACTGAGATACTGTCAAACGCAACATACTTATATGTCGGAATGTTCCAAAGTCCTTGCCATTTATATGTCTTCAAAGAAAGCCATGACAAAGTCTTCATTCCACAATAAATTCCTAAGCCATTGCATATGATCACATCCATTATCCACTGAAAAGGAAAAAAATATTTCAGGCAGCAGAATCAAAGTTAAACTTACTATCCTATCGTAGTGGTTCACACCCTTTTTCGAGTCAGGGCACCCCTCTTCAACTTTTTTTTTTTTTTTTTTTTTAATCTGGCAGCATAGCTGGTTGAGAATCACTTTTTATGCTGCCTAATCTTATGTCAACAGTTTTCAACCAGGTGCCACTACTACAGCCAGGTAAAACTGCCCTTGTGCACCTACTGCACAGCCAGACTGGGAAGGGCTGCAGCACGTGCACACTCTCCTGCCTCATTAGCATTCTGTGTTAATCCTAAAACAGTCAGGAGAGTCAGTTCATGCTGCAGACCTTCCCAGTCCAACCCTGTAGTGTCTCCAGGAAACAGACAAACAGGGCAGGTGGAACTGTCCAGCATGTCTGTTTTGGGGAGAAGTGTGGCAGGGTCAGACTGTGAAGGGCTGCAGCATAAGCTGGTTCTGCTGACTGCTTCAGGGTTAGTAAAGAACCCTAATGAGGCAAGAACCAGCCCTTCCTGGTATGTAGGGCATTTTTACCTGGCCACTGCTGTAGCAGCACTGGGGGAGGGGTCTTGCAGCACCCTAAGCTGAGAACCATCATTGATTTGATGCATTCATCCATTCGTTATAGAGAACCACTAACCTAGTGAAACCTTTCAGATGGAAATATTAGATACCTGCTTCTATACAGAGGTATGTTTTCATTCAACAGAACAATTTGTCTAGAACAGAGTTGATCTGATGTTAATCAGATTAGGATGCAGAGTTTATACATATCCCTATTTTAATTGTCCAGATATTCATGTGATGGAACAACAGATGTCTGAGGAAGAGGTGTTAATCCTCCTCTTCAAAACTAAAACCAGTGTGGAACTGACCTCCTATTAATTACTGCAACTGGACCTTCACATCTCTGCTCCTTGGTGGGAATGTCTTAAAGCACACTAAACAAGGAATATTACCTTGTTATGCCATAATAGATTTTGCAGTGCTTTTCATTTCCTGTGTGTAACTGGACGAAACTTGTCTCCAGGATCAGAATGTGAAGTTTATGGGAGAACTGAATTTCTCCCACGGCCCCATACTGTTACTAAATGCTAATGCCAGAGATGGAGCTCAGTGCTGAAAATACTGGCTGCCTTTTTAATTAAAGAGCACGATAGCATCTCTTGTTCATTGTTAGTTCAACAATGGTAGTTTCTAGTACTCTAGTCTACTGTTCAGAAAAACTGTTCTTGGTTTTATGACCATCTTTAAAAAGTAAAATGAACATCAAAAATGTTAAAAACCCTGTTTGCAAAGTCTATTTTGCAAAAAAGACTACAAACAGAAATAAAAACAAGGTGAATTTGTATGCAACTGTAGCTAAAAATAGCGTCACACCTAGGAATCTTGTTCTGGACCTGAGATACCCAGACCAGTCCAAAAGTCAATTTATTTAAATATAGAAAAGGATGCATCACTTCAAGATATGCAGCCTGTGTTGCACAGCAGAAGATCAAAACAGAAAATTTTTAAAGTCCTTTCTGCTATTAAAATGAAATTTTAAGTATTTTAATGCTTCTATGTATTCAGTACACTGCCAAAAGCAAAGCTTTAATTAAGATCCCCAGCATGGTCCATAAGATCCAAGTGCTCAAGTGTTTGTTTGGGGGTTGTTGTTTTTGTTGTTTTGTTTTTTTTGGGGGGGGGTGGGGGGGGTTAGCATATGATAAGATTATAATCACAAAGCAAGGGAAAACATTCACAATTTTATGTCTACATTTTGCAGCCAGCTGATTGCCTCATGTCTAGTATTGTGCAAATCCAATAGAGTTCCATTAAATGCACAGAGAAGGCATTCAGAGATGATGTGGTTCAAAGTTTGAAAAGGGGAGCCACAGCTGCAGTTTGTTGAGCTAGTCCAGCCCAATTGATGCAATAGAAATCCACATCTTCCATGTCCTGTCCTGATTCAGTCTAGAGAATACCAAAGATGTCTAGGGAGGTCCAGGTCTAATATCCAGGTCTTATGGTGGGATTTGTAATAATTTCTGTATTAATTAGACCAGGTCTAGGTGTAATGGTAGGATTTGTAATAATAATTTCTGTATTTAGGGGTGAATTGAGCCACTCTTGCATCCAGGCATCTTGGATGAGTCTTGCTCAAGCTGAATTTCTGTTATCCAAGTGGGATGTCTAGATTTGAAATTTTGGACATGGTGGATTTAAAAGATCTTTATGTATATGCAGCTGAGAGTTATTTTTTATTTTAGTCCATAATTTAATTAAGGCATTTTTTTCCTAATAGGGAAGGCTGTATGTTACTAATAATAGGGAACCACTGAAGAGGGGTGGATCAGATTGTTCCTGTAATGATTCGCATTGCTCGGTTAGTTGCATGTAAACCTTATCAGCATGAGCACTGTTTAACCAGATTGGGGCACAGTATATCACCAAAGAGTAGACCAGCACTAAAACTGTTATTCTCTGTTGATCGTCATCAGATCTGATGCACAAGTGGTGCCTGGATGTGACATGTCCTAATTGACTGCTCTAAGATAGATTTTATTTCCCTATAACTTCTTTGACAACCCACTGCATTTGTTATTGATAGAACAGAGAAAAATGTGGTTTTGTAGATTCAAAATATATTTAAAAGACAAATAGAATACAGGTGGCTCTGAATAAATACCAGTGATTCTCAGCCAAGGTGTTGTGAGATAGAGCCTTTTAAGGGCAATACACAATACTTGCACTTTTAGGTATACATAATTCACAGGAGAAACCTGCAAATTTAAAAAAGGAATCCATCACACCAAAAACATTACGACTGGTTGTGGTCTTTCTGAATCTGCTATAACAGTAGAACTGTTCTATTATTTTTCTGCTGTCAAAAAGCAAGTGAAAGCCAAAAGCTGGTATTTTCCAAAGGATGCCTTGAGTCTCACAAGGTTGGAAAATCACTGGCCTACACTCTTAACTGATAAGCAGATACTGAAGAAACACATGCTTAGACTTTACATTAAAGGCTTTCATTTTCTCTGCATTCTTCACACATCAGTTCTGTGATCAAAACCGTCACCAGAGAGCCTTATTGAAGCATTTTCATATATTTTAGTATACATTTATTCTGGCAGAGACTGCTTCTTCATTTCTGGTAGACAGACATCTAGTGGTTCCATAGAAAAAAATAGTTTATAAAATCACAGTATTTTTGCTGATAACATTTTTCCACACCCATTGACAGTTGGACAATCTTAAAATGAGGGAAGGGACAGACAAAGCCATTATATTAAAAAGACACCAAATGAAGTTAGTCAAAAGGACAAATTAACACTGTGGAGACTTTCAATCATCTGCATGAATATGCAACTGACCAATTTACTTTTAATGTACAGGATATGAATACACACTGTAGTCACTGATATTGAGCCATTGTAACAAAATGCGTTTGCACCTATTTTGGCTCTATGTGCACCATATAGTCCAACTGCTTTTTTCTATCTTAGATGAATATGGTATGTAGTACATACATGATCCCACCAACATTCGCTGAAGTTTGGAAGCTGATGCTCCAGGCTGTACTCCAGAAATTCGAACATTACACTGATAATCATGCACATCCACCAGTCCCGAATCATTAGTGTCTGATTGAAGAAAGGGAGAGATTTCTTTCAGAATACTTTGCATTACATAATACACTAAAAGTCATTTTGAAAAATAAATAGCTGTATGAAGAGAAATACTGGTCATTTCAAGTCAGACTCTATACATTTTAGGAGACCTAGGATGGATTTAGAGACCTTCTGCTACCTGAAAAGATATTTGAGCACATGACACTTATTTTCAAGCCTCTGGTCTGATCTTTTTGAAGATACAGGACTGACCCTCCAAGGTGATAATTTGGTTTTGAACATACTGTGGCCAAAGGTTATTTTCATTTACTCTAGTTCTACTCTGGCCTGTGAGACCCAAGATATGGCAGAGTATGTAGAGCTAGAAAGCTTATGACACCACTTCGCCTATATGTCTCACTTTAATTTAAAAAAAAAGTCAGGTTTAAAAATGTACCACGACCCATAAACTGACTAGATGCACTGGTCAGAAAAGATGCCATGGAATTACAGTGGAACAAAATCTTGAGGCCATCGCTTACATTACCAGAAAGAATAACAGCAGGCAGGGAGGATTCAGCAACAAAGAAATACAAGTCACACAATGGATACGGTTGTGTGTGCCTCTGCTACCAGGTGGAAGCAGTGAGCAGCTAGCAGTGATCAGAGCTGCTCAAAAGGCTCCCCATGGCCTGCTTAATGCAACTCTCAAAGCAGCCATCTGTCCTCAGCCTCAATCCCCAACTCTGTCAAGTCAGCAATAGAGCGGTGTTCCCGCCTTGCTCTCTCCTCAGAGTGTCCTGCTTAGGACGCAATAAGCAGCAGTTGCTTATGAGATCCAGCTGTACTTCATCCTAAGCCCTTCTGAGTCCACCAGACAGGCTGTTAACTCTCTAGCTGCTTCTCTTATCTTGAGGATATGGGCACACAAATTACTGAGAAGCAACAGTGTGAACTTGCAGCATATCAGATACTCCTCAGTAACTCTTACCCCATGGTAATGCAAGGATCCCTCGATGAAAACAGAATACGTTAACTCGCATTTACTGTGGCCAAGAGTATATAAATCAGGCTGTTATCATGGAGTAGTTGATACATTCTAAGTTGCACACTAAGCTTACCCAGAAGTAACTTGTTCACATGCCTGAATTAAGATGTGGACATGAGGAGCGGACACTTAGGTGCAAGTTAAAAATACGACAGATTGAGGGATTTCGTCAAAAGGAGTCGAGCCTGAATACAGTTGAGGAGTGAACAGATTCTACCGTTACCTTCTGTCCAAGTAGCTTTTTTCATGGCTAGGTCCAACTACAGTTTTGGAAGCAGTATTCTTCAGGTATTATAGTCCTTCAAGCAACATTTATTTGGAGGAATAATGAACCAAATTCCTTAGTACTTGAACATGGGAAGAAAGTATGGTTCATGGTTCAACTGGAAGGTAAACAAATGAGGATAGACCCTCTGTCCTTTCTTCCTAGCTACAGTCATGCAACAGAAGTGACCCTCCTTATTGCCAGCAACTGTGCAGGTCACAGTTGAGTCTCTTCCACTGCTAGGATTCCTCTGTCTGATTACTGGAGCAACTTCCAAGGAGCAAAGCAGTGCCACAAGCCTACAAAACAAAGGGAGATCAAGCAACTGTGCTGCCCCAAGGTGGAAGTGGGCAGTGATTATGGCCACGCCACAGTTTTCACCCTTTCTTTGAGAAATGCTTTCCCACAATCTACTGTGGAATTAGATGCTTTGCTCTGTATCCCCTTCTGTCACACTCCTCCCTCTTATGCTGGCTGACAGCATGCAGAGTTGTACCAACATATGGTCCCCTGCAGCTAAGTTGTGCTGTAACTGAATGTGCTCAGCTACGGTGACTAAATACTGGCTTGAAACCAATGAAAAGTAGACACTTGTTAAATGTGCTTATTCTGATAATGGGCAACAAGCACCTGTCCTGATACCACCAATGACAAAAGGTTGACCTAGTGGTGAGTGAGGTCCTTAATTTTTCAATATTATTTTTTTTTTACAGGGAACTGAGGCATACACACAAGGTAGAGTTTAATTATTCAAACCAGAAACAAGAGGGAGGTGCTCACCTTTGTGCTCAGCAGCATAACAGACATTCCACTTTTGTTACCTTGTTGTATGAAGTGTTTTAATGACCAGTGAGGAATACAGGAGGAATATCCTTTTAGTGTGGTAGTATACAAATCATTGCTCTGTGGTGCTTGTTAAAACCAAATCCAATGGGCAAAACTCCTGAGATGGACAGGAAGGATGCTGTCTCAAACAGCTATCTAGAGCAGTGTTTCTCAACCCATGAGTTGCAACTCGAAAGTGGGTCGCAAGAACACTGTAAAGGGGTATGGGGAGGTCCCAGAGAATCGAGTGGTTTCCTGCGCAGGCTACAACACTGGAAGCCTGCATGGAGCCCATATGCAGCTGAGGGTGTGGTGAGCACACAGCATTGTGAGAGCAGCCCCAGGGGCCGGAGAGGGAGGGAGAAGTGGGGGCAGGCAGGCAGAGTAGGTCGGGGCCAGGGGGTTGTGGCAAGCTGATAACAATGCTAATGATTCCTGGTGTGTAAAAGGTTGAGGAACCACTGCTCTAGAGGACACTCACCCAGCTGATTCAGATATAGCTTATACCTTTTTTGGTATGAAATAAATTTAACAGATTGATTTAAAAGATAGATGCTTACACCAACTTTTTGGCCATGGACAGACAAGTGCAGCAGCACTGTGAAGAACTAATGAAAAAGTAGCTCTACTGGTGAGAACAGGTGTGAGGAAACCCCCAGGTGGAATGGTAAAAAGTTGTAGCAAGGCAGTTTGGTCTACTACATCCAGGGAGTGTGACAGGGGGTTGCTTGGCCCTGTGCCTCTATCTTTCCCCCTTCCTCCCACCAATGGGGAAGGAAGCCTGTCACTGAATCCAATAACTGACAGCCAGCCTGCTCCTTGTCCCCCAAAATGCTACAATGGACCATATGGCCATCATATGTAGTGCTACAGAGAAGTTCCTGTTTCAGAGGAACATTTTGGTGATGTTTCCTTTATATTTTAACACTACAGGTGGCAGGCATGTCTGTCCCCTCGACTATGTAGCTCCTGAAACTTAACATCTGTCCATGACCCCTAGTTCCTACAAAGGTCCTATTACCATTTGTGCTGTGTCTTTTCATCCAAAGCCTTACTTTAAGGCAAAAATATTATATACTACTACAAAAACATGTTGATGGACTTCAGCAGATGTTACTTTTATCACACCATATCAGCTGTTCTAGCACAACAAAAAGCAACTGTTTGTTCACTCATGCTCTTTGTTGCACTACAAGAAAATGCTGATCTGCCACAAAAATGGCAAATCCACAGCAGAGAAGTCCCGTGGGTGGCTTGTGGGCAGCTCTGTCAACTGTTGCCACTGCAGCAACAGCTGATCAGGCAAGCATGTCCGCACACGTGTCCTACTCACTGATAAATTCCAGTGGGGGACGGAAGCTATGGAGCAGCCTGCTATTGTCTCCTAGCTGGAACGGGTAACTTTGTGGCAACAGTCTCACTCCAGAGAAATGGCTGTGCACATGCGGCCACACATGTGCTATGTTTCTATAGTGTAACAAAATTCTTCAGTACCAATAGTGCACCAAAAATTCTGTCTACATAAACCCTGAGTTTGTTTTTTTAATAGTAAAAACACTACATGACTAATTGGGATCCTTATTTTGAGAAATGTCTCCTTATGCAGGGGTATGAGACTACAAGAAGCCATCGTCTCCTTGCGTTTGTCAAGTATTCCATTATGCATACAGAGTAAGTTACAATTCTACTGATTTGAAAGCACTTCATAGAATTCCTAGGCTTTTTCCTGGTCACTGAAAACAGACATGGCTGTGTTAACAGCTGCACTTTTGAACAGGGACGAAAGTAAACTGAAAATTGCAATTTCTCTTTCCAAGAAAGCTGAGCTTTGATTGTCTGCAGGATTGTTTAGAAGGGGATGTAGAATAAAGGGTAAACAAGGGCTTTGGTGTGAGGTCAGTTTAGTCAGTAAATTCACTTGAGCAGAGAGCCACATTTAGATCTAAATACACATTAAACAATATTTAACACATGCTACTTCTCCAGCAGGTGTAGCTGGAACTCTCTCCTTGTTTGTTCAGATACTGACAGTTACACTTATGAGAACGCTGCCCTGCGAGTCATTTAAAATCACGACTTTAGAGCCTAACAGATAGTGTGAAATACTTGACTTGTAGAATTCTATGGGTACATCATTATGGGTGAATGGTGACTTTCACAGCTTATGCTGCACAGCATCTTCCCCGCAATCTATGTTAAAATTCACTCAAGGGTAAAAAATGCTGGGAAAATTAATGGACTTCTATATTTTTGTTTCATTGATCTGACCTTCGTGAAATATCAACCATGTGGAAGAAAAAACTTGTTAATGAAAGCTTGTTAATGCAATGTTGGATGAGAAAGAGATTAGATGACCTAAAATTGTCAAAAAAAGAAAAGGGGTCTCATATGTTTGAGAGATGCTTATTTAAACTAGTTCACAGATGACTGCCTACTATAATTAATTCTGAACACTGGTAACATTGAAACAGAAGCAGTCACGCTTTAAAAGCAGAATAGTCCTGTAGCAGAAGTGTTAGAACACAAACAGGACTGATTCTTACTTTTAGGTACCAGCCAAGGAAGTGAGCAGGAACAAATCCATCCAGTTTGTCCTATAAACCAAGCAGAGAAATTGAGTTAATTTGTCATATATACAGCTCTCTTTTCCATGACTTACATTCTGGAAAAAAATTAAAAAAAGATAGAAGTGGTCCTTAAACCTTTCAGATGCTTGGGATGTTGGCGTCTACTGTATTTCGTAATCATTTTGGCACCAATTAAAAACTGCAAATACCCAGACAATGTTTTTTAAAGCAATACTAGAAAGCCCAAGTAGGGACAGGAATGGAAAATGTGACATAAGATTTGCTGGGTAAGAAAACTGGCTCCTTGTCTCCAACTCATTCTTTTGGCCAGCCCGGAAATGGTGAAGAGAGAGGTGGGACCATGATAACAGAATCCCGGTACAGTGGGACAGGGCAGAAAGGCATCTTTCCTTACTGAATCATACTCCCCACTCCAGAGCTAGAAAAGGAACCCAGGACTCTTGAGTCCCATCATTCCTTAAATGCAATAGAAACCCACTTGTAAAAGTATACCCTCATTCTCCTCTGGCACTGATCCAGAGATTATGACAATCTATTGCTGTCAATAACTCAAGGAGCCGATATGACGAAGGTCTGTGCGATGGATCCACAGATTTCTACCCACTCATTTACAAAGCTACCAGACCAATTCTGGAGACAGATATACTAGCCACAAGTCCTGTGTTCTTAGATTTTATGCCTCTGGTTGTGAACTTTGGAATAAAATTCAGTTAGATTCTTAAATATCAGGTGAAGATTCCATGGGATACAATTTATGGGCTATATACCAACATGCAACTTGTAGCCAGATATAAAGACAGCTAACTCCAATTGGAACAGATGAACTGGTATAGGTTTACATCAATACTCTGAAGTGCAAGCAACATACTTAAATAATTTACCCCTTCTCCCCAAGTAGGTAATTAGGTTACAAATGAGATGCGTGGTCTTGATCTGATCACTTGTAAAGGTCAAAAGAGAAAAGGAAAAAGGAAGGTAGCAGGTGAGAGTCTAAATCTAAAAGAAACACAGTGCTGAATCCATAATCCAGTTTTAAGCCAAGTAAGGCAAGATTGCACATTTCAGAATTCAATTGACACCATTTTACACAAAAACAGTAACACTCACGGGCAAGGAGCTCTTTCATTTCAGTTTCTTACCCAGATGTTGTGATATGGATCAGTTTCATTGCCTGGATCGTAAATAAGGCAGTTACCACCATAGTCTCTTTCTGGCAAAGGAACGCCTAAATTTGGATCGATGTATTTCATAAACTGTCTGCCATCATGTACAGTCTGCAGAATTAACACATCCATCCATTAGCAATTGATAGTTAATAGGCAGGAAAACCTGAAGAAAGGAAATTACTAGTAAGCAGCCCATCCTCAAATGGGCAATATTTAACATTTGTGTTGCAAAATAGTTCAAACATGTATCCATGCCTCTTTAGTAATGGTAATGCTTTTAATTTGTACTTCTGGTCTTCTGATGTCCCGTACCAGCTACTGAGGAAGCAAATTCAAATAATTAGCTAAGTCTGGCTGCAGGACTGTAACTTAACACTAGAGTATTGAAACAACAGGCTTTTACACCTGGGCAAAAACATCCACAAAACTGATAACCAAAAGAATTGACATTTCCCCAAATAGGTGACCCTGATTATAAGACAACCTACTAATAATCAGATTGTATATATGGAAAATGTATGGAATTTGTTATTATTTTCCATTAATAGAATCTAATTATTGGGTGTTTAGCTTGAATCTGTCCCTTTCTCAATGCTACAGCAAAGGGGGAAAAAAAAATGGGGGGGGGGGGGGAGGGTGTGTCAGGTTCCCCCCCCTTTGCTCTGTTTCCTCTCCATCTTTTTACCCTGGCAGCCCTTTCCCCCTCTCTTTACTATCAGACCGGGCTCTGCCTGAGCACATGGAAGTGAGAAGCAAATTTGAAGATAATAAAACCTTGAAATTAAACACTGCTGCAGCAATTTGCATACAGTACCCACATACTTAGTTTATCCAGAAACTGGTGCAAGTTTTAGCACAGGTACTCCATAAATACACTTTTGAGCAGCACTTTGGCACCTACTTATAAGCGGTACAAACTATACATGGTATCAGTCCAAAGCAAAAGGCTCATGATTTACTACAGTTCGCTGGGCTGGACCATACCAGTCAACAGCATTTCAAGCCATGGTGACCCCACAGCTCAGCACTGCTCAGGGTGTATATTCTAGATACTCCCCACAAAGGACCCATGTGCTAATTAGCTCACTCATGACTGAAACTGGGTGTTCTGGGAGTCCTGGGATGCTCCAAAAATTTATAGGCAGCTAAGACGCAGGGCAACCTAGTTCAGCTTTACATCATGGAGGGTAGAGCCACACTAATCACATGCACCAGGCTGAAAGAGAAGGCAACAAAGGCATTCTGGGCGAATTCTTTGGAGCCCTGTTTCATGATGTTTGCCAGGCATTTAAGGTTGGTGAAGAAACAGGAATCACTGGGCATGGGAAAAGAAGGTGCACTTCAGCTGTGGGAGTGAAGAAGGCATCAAAATATATGCAATGTAGGATTCATCATGAATTGAAAAACAGTTGGTACAGACAGGGACTGCACTTAATGGGCACTGCCATACATCTTATTTAGATGGACTGTGCTGACCTGTCCTAGTGGTACTTGGCAGGGGAGATAGCAGGGTGGAGGTTGTATTTTCCAGGTGGTTTTGCTGTACCTCTTTCTCCCTGACCTTGTGACCTTGTGTAGTTGAGGGTAAAAACTTGTCCACTGCAGTGTGAGCAAGTATCTGCTATAGCCTCCCAATGGGAGTCCGTCGACTACACACTTCATTTTATGGAGATGGGGGATTTCTCCCTAGCTTGCTCCTTTGGCCTTCTGGCTAAAGGTAAGCGAGACTTGGGGGCACCTGAATCGCAAGGCCTGTAGGCTTGGGACTTGCATGTAGGCATGTAGGACCTGCCTTCGATTTGGGAGTATCTGAAGCCCCAAGCTGAAAAGTGTGAGAGATAAGATACTTGTTGTGGTAACACCAGGTGGACCTGGACAACTGAGCTCTGCTCAGTGGATGGAATTTGGAACCGATTTGACTAATTGGCTTGAGACACCAAATGTAAAAAGTAGTAGGTTCCCATCAGCATCTTGCCTTTTGGCTGGGAACCAGTCTTGCATTTCTGGCACCATGGGGAAGGTGTCAGGGCTGGCTGTGGCCCTCCCAATGCCCGGCCTGGTATTGCAATGCCTCCAGGCTGGATGCCAGTTTCCTGAAGAAGGAATACCCCCCTGGGTTTTTGTTTTTTTAATGCTTTTTTTTTTTTTTTTTTTTTAAGAGCAACACAAAAAGGGTTCCCAGAAGCGTATCTGCCCAATGTGGGCCATGTATTTTACAATAACACTCAGTGTTGGCTGCATTTAATCAACTTCAGTTGGTTTCCACTGCTGAAAACATGCTGCTTTTGGTAGCAGTTTAATGGCAGATAATGTATTTAAGTGAGGTTTCCTTGTGTGAGATAAGAAAATGAGGGGCATTTTCCCCCATACCAACGGGGTTGGGGGGGGTGGGGGGGGGGGGAGCCTCATCTTGTCTTCAAGTAACTACGGTATACCCCACTCTCCTTTTCCCAGCCAACTGTATTGTGGGTGATCAGCCGCCACCAATCCATATCAGGTTCATTCTTGAGACTAGCATGTCTTCTATCATTGTGTAACTCTGTTTGTAGTTCTCTAACTATAGCCTGCATGTCAACAAATTAAGTGCGTGTTAAAAATTAGGAGATGTAAAGCACAGTTTGGGATATACTCAGAGGAGCCATCATACATATATGCTTACTTCAGTTATAGGAAGGTCAGAGTCAGGACAGTGGCAAAGAATTTACTATAGAACTTCAGTTAAGAAATACAACTTTATTGTCAAAGTTATGCTATCAGCATAAATATTATGATTTGAAGCACACCAAATGGAAGCTGTTAACAGAAGATTAATCCATGTACCATCAAACACAGTCGCCATCACATGTAATTAATTTGCTGATGAATCATGTAAGCACTTGCTGAACAACAAATATTTCCTAATGGGATCACAAATACTGTCATAAATGGTTTTGGACTACCCAGCTGAGGTAAGAATTTAACAGAAACTTTAGAAGAGAAGAACTGTGACTTACTTTTGGGATGGTACTGGGAAAACACAGTTAAGTTGAATGAGATGGAGTGCTTGACGTAGCTTGTATCCAGAACCAACTTTAGAACTAGCTTACAAAGCTAAAAGGATCGGCTGCCAAGAACCCCCGAGTTCTGATCCATGTTGGTATAATTCATTCTCTCCCCACAGTTTCTTTAAACATCTCACTTTTTTCTCTCAAGGTTTTAAAATGAGGTTGTTTACCTACCTAAGTGTTTTGAAAGAGTTGTACAAACACCACCAAATGTGAAGAGTTAAATACTAAGTTCACAATGTGAGAAAAGCCCAGAGTTATGTGAAATGCAATAAAAGCTACTTAAAACCTTAATAATCTGTAAAGTAAAGACTGTAGACTGTTAGACTAAGACAGGGTTGGGAAATTATAATCGGGCGGAGGGCTGCTTACTGAGTTTTGGCAAGCCATCAAGGGCCACATGACAGGCAGCCAGGGCAGATAAATATTAATTTTCTACATTTAGTAGGGGCCCCACGGGCCGGATAGAATGGCCTGGTGAGCTGCATCCGGCCCACGGGCCGCATTTTGCCCACCCGTGGAATAAGATCACAGCTACGAAAATTAACTGACTTTATTCTTATTACTCAATTTGCTCTCACTCCTCCCTTTGGAATCAATGTGATGGGTGAATCCAAGTGAAGTGCAGTTTTTAGGGGAGCACTGCCATATGATCATGACTGAAAAAAGCACGCGCATCTCCTTTAATATGTGAAGCACCTTTTTTGTGTTTACAATTAATGCTCATATACTGTACGTATATGTTGGGGCACTGGCTTTGCTGTGCTGTCTCAAGTTTACAGATTTTATCTGACTCAAAATCAACCTCCAAAATACTGTGCATCTCAGCTGCTGTGTTTTTGTGACAGCTAGATTTGCAGTAGAGGTAAGTCTTCTTAATTTACTCAAGGATGAAATAGCAATCAAAAATAAAACATTTGGAAACAGGACAGTGCTCTGAGAATAATTCAGTCCTACTCAATAGTCGTTCCATACAGATGTGGATGTACATATGAAGTGTTTCATTGTATAGCAACTTTCAACCAGACAACTTCACAAACACTAGGCCTTGGAGGAGCTGTCATATTGGCTTTACAAAGGAGCTAACCGAGGAACTGACAAGTGACACAACTTGCTCAAATTCACATACTAAGTTGGAAACGAAACAGACATTAGCAGCCAGGAATATAGCAACTCCCAGACATTTCACATACCCAACCCAGAGCAATGCCTCCCCCACCATCTCATTTAAGGATGCAGACTCCTGGTAGGCTGATCTACCCTTTGAACAAAAGAGCTAAGGGAGACAAGGTGGTGGTAAACTTAAGTAGATTAACCACTCTCCATAATAAAGTCCTTTGACTGAAAATGGGTAACAATTTCATATCAAGATGGCTGCAGCATTAAGCAGCACTGGGCTAGGAAAAAAAATCTCTAGACAGTGTGAATGATGCTGTTAGAGTAAATGATCTATGTTTAAAATTGTTCAGAAAATATTTTTTAAGCTATCTAGGCATTAAGAGCTAAATTTTCAAACTTCTTACCTGAAAGAGTATAAAGATAAGGAAGAGCTCATACACAACGCTGACACAGAGCCAAAACCTCCAGTAAGCTAAGGAAAAAGAAAAAGGAGGTTAGCAAGACTTCTTGCAAAACAGCTGTTGGTTGTTCATTTAACAGTAACACAATTACAGAACATTTTTAGCAGAGAGTCCTTCACTAAGGAATTATAATGTAAAGCATGGAGTAAATTATTTGGACAATGCCCTGCCCAAAGGGTGCAAAACAGAAATCATCCGATTTAGACTGGAAATTAGGGGAAAACCCTCTATTAGAGGAGTGATGTTTTAGAACAGTGAAGTGGCAGCTTTCTGGAACTGTAGGCTGAAGCAATACAGCTCAGGTACAAGGTAGGCCAATGTTCTGGTTCAGCCATTGCCACTGTGGTTTATCCCTGCTACAGCTCCTTTATGCCTCTACTATGGGAGGAACCCCCTGCCACCATAACGCTGCCAAGTCCCCCTACTGCCAACACACCGCTGAAGATGTCCAGCTTCAGGGGTCTGATTTAGTGGTTCTGGGGGTCACGTGTTGATAACCCCTATTTTAGGGCAGTCTCTTGAGTTGAGCAATACAAGCAAAAAACTTATCAGGCTGGAATAGTACTTCATCACAGAGAATCCTAGCAAAATCCAATGAAGCCAAAATCCTGGATTGGGACAGTCTGTAGTGGGGAAACCTAGACACTCCAGACTGAAACAACTCAAGTTCAGGAGCTTGACCCCCCAACCTGCAATTTCTCAAACATGTCAAGAGGTTTGAATTAGCTTCATTAGATCAGTGGTTGGCAACTTCTGAGGCTGTAGGCCTGGCTGACTCAGTTTGGGTGACAGGCATGGTGCCAGTGAGTTGGAAGAGTAGGCCCGTGCCCTCTGGCCAGATGAAAAGGCTCTGGCCCACAGGCCAAAGGTTGCCAATCCCCACATTGGACGGATGTTCATGCTGTGAACTCAGTCAGTTTAGGTGTGGCCCATGCCAAGGGGTAAACTTCCATTTCAGGAGTTAACCCACTTCAGGATTAGCATCTAGGAGTCTGTAAGCAGATTGGTCTAGCCATTTCCAAAACCATGTCTGTGAGTTTGAATAATGGGGAACAATTCAGTGAAATTTCACAGTCTAAACTGAGTTAACATCCAAGTCTCTCTTGACACTCTCATTCATTCATCTCCTTTGAACAATTTCAATGGCTTTTTTTGTTTTTGTTTTTTGTTTTAAATAGGCTTCCTGCCCTACTGCAAACAAGAGTTATCTTTCCAGGGGCTAGATCTAAATAGTTGTTGAGACTGGTTCTGGACAAAGAGGATTCCATACAGTATAATAATCAACATTCAAATGGTCAAGTGGAGAGTAAGTTAACTGATACAAGTCTGTGCTCTGAGATACACAAGTAGCTGTGCTAGTCTCAAATCAGGCAGAAGGCAGGGTAGATTTGCACCTTTTAGACTAACTAAATTAGAGATGCACAGATACATAGATTGATCATAAGATTGTGTGGGTCATGCAGGGAGCAGTGTGCAGAATGGAAAGCATGATCTAAATACAAAAGGCAGGAAGGAAAGGAAGGAGTGGCGAAAGGGGGCAGTGCTGGGAGAGGCAAACAAGGAAAAAACCCTTAGGAACAAAGGGGTCCCCAAAAACTAATCCACATAATTACTTCCTACATATGTGTGTGAAATTGCTTACTTAACTGAGGGAGAGGGGACCAAGTTGTTAGGTTGAATCTTAATCTTCAAGGTCTCTAAAGCATCACCCTACCTTGCCTTCTGCTTGACTTCAGGTTAAACTAACCCTCTCCAGGCCACAAAGTGCTAAACTGATTTCAAAAGGGAGTTATATGCCTAAATGACTTTGGGAACCTGAACCTTAGTTTTTTGCTCTAGAGGAACAGATTAACAATTCTAATATTAGAAACACAAAATTAGCACCCACTCCTCTCCCAGGTAAACTGGAAACCAGGAGGATGTGGACAGGTACACAGGCATATCAAATTTGCTCACTGGCAGTTTGCTGAGGACACTGATTTAAGCAGGATTAAATGCTTTCCAAGCAGAGGAAAAAGTTAACAAATTTTAGCCTTTCCAATCTTGACAATGGACTTGTTTGCACTGGAGAGTGCAAGGTAGTATAGAGACATCTGAGCTAGCTTTACATGAGCCAACAAAGATCCACAAGCATGCTGCAAAATTTTGAAACAAAAACTTCAGCACACACTAGTTCATTCAGTTAAGAGACAGGCAGACAGCAACACCTGCTTTTTGTGTTAGGAGACTGAACTGAGCAAAGAACATCTTTCAGATCATAACAAGTTTCCTCTATAATAAATTGCTTCTGACCCTTTAAAAATAGCTTTGGATGTGTAAGGACGTGATCATTTTCAGCCAAACTGCTCAATTAACCTAATCAGAATGACCTACTTTGCATGTTAGGGGAAAAAGCAGCAGTGACCTGGATACCTGGGGGTTTATCATTTCTACCTAGGAAGTCACAAACTGAGATTGGAGAGTCTGTTTTACAATGATTTTCCTTTCAAGTTTACTTCTGAGAAGAAAAGGGCCCTCACAGTAACTAAAAGAATAACAACCCAAACAGCTTTATGCAGATTGACAAACTATAATTCTTAGTCATGTTTTCCAAATTACACTCATCGAGCCATTTTTCTGTCACACAGCAGCAGAAGAGCCCTCTTAGGGGACCTTCCACCACAGAAAAACTAACAACAACAGGATCTGTGCAGTGCAAAAAGCAGTTTTACTCTTGGGTTCCTATTACTATTGCTGGTTCCTCTAATGCAGAGGTTGTCAACCTGTGGCAAAAGTGCCACAAACACCACAGACGGCCTCTTCATGTGTGCCACATGGCAGATCAGGGAGGGAACAGGTAGCACAGCAACAGACAGAGCATGAGGCAGAAAGCAGAGCAGGAGATCAGGAAGGGAACACAGGGCAGAAAGCAAGGGAAGAGACTGGGCAAAGAGCACAGAGTAGGGAGCAGAAACAGAGCAGCAGATTGGGCAGAGGAAGGGTATTGGAGTGGTACTTGGGGAGGGTGTGAGGCTACTTTGTGCCATGCCTGCCAAAAAGCTTGGTCCACTCTGCTCTAATTTCAGATCTTTAAATAAAAACCCTAATTAATGGGGGGGGGGGGAGAGAAGGAGAAGACATGCACAATAGTAGCATCGTTAGGTATGCAAACACCTACACTGATTCACAAGAATCTTAGCAAGCTTTTGGGTGCAATCACCCTTCTTCAGGCATAGACTGAAGAGACAGCAGAGACTTCCTATGCCTGAAGAAGGGTGATTGCACCCAAAAGCTTGCTAAGAACTTTTTTCCAACTACTGTACTCAGTTGGTCTAATAAAAGGTATCACTTCTACTCAAAGATCCTTGCCTGTATTGCCATACACCTTTCAGTAACATCTTCACGTTGTCCAAACTACTAAATACAAATGCCTCGCCTGATGTGTAAAACGCAGTTGACAAGATAACTAAACACCTATCCTAATAATTCTGGAAGTCAAATGAACTTCCCTCTGATGCCCCCCACCCCAGATTCCTGCATTGTTAAAGGAGACCTAAATCAAACCCTTATTGCCAATTATTTGTTGTACAGTAAAAACTGTGTTATCTGGCACTTTACCATCCAGAATGCTCTATAAACCGGCATCTGTCATAGACGGCAATACAAATCTTCCTTTACGTATCTGGAAAAATTCCGATAGCCATCTGGCATCTTGCCGTGCGCTTCTCATAGACCTGTTGTTTATGGAAGCTTCAGGACACTGCTGAGTAGTGTCGCTAGTGGCAGTCTCAATTGTAAACATCCGCTATCTGCCATTGTGATCGCGTTGAGCTTGTGCTATATCATGACTTCATCGCTGAATATCTCACCCACCCTGCAACTATGGCTACCAATAATCCACCAACAAGCAGAGGACAGAAGCAGAAGTGTGTTATGTTGCCAATAATTTGGTGAACTATAAGTGTAACTCTCAGATAACCCACATATTTGATTAACCGGCACCCTCCATGCCTCATGGATGCTGGATAACAGAGCTTTTACTGTATATAGTTCCAGCGAAGGCCTTTCTTCTGCAACATTAAGAAAGCTTTTCCATTCAATTCCACTCACAATCTACTCTATCCATGTTCATTCTATCTAGAATCCATACAAAAGCAATTGAATTCTTGTCTGCAAGTGTGATATGAATTCACGTTTATCCACTGTTAGTTTAGTTACCTCCATTCCTAAATCTTCAGACTAAGTCATTTATAGCTTTTATTATGAAACCACAAATGGCATACAAGTTGTACATAGAAGGAGATAGATTCATAATCTTGCATCAGCAAACGTAAAATAAAAAGTCATCTCTGGAGACATAAGTCATGGAAACTGCGGACATGTTCCCCTGTTAAACACAGACAATGATGCATAACTGCATCGTAGAGCATCCAGCTTATTTGAATTGTATGTATGGTATCCTGATTTCAAAACTGACAAGTATCCTCTTTTACTCCCTCAGAGAATTGGTATCTTGTATACTTGAATTACATATAGTACATGATGCACAAACAATTGTCAAAAGATCCAGAAGTACCTTTTATTTATACATGCTATAAAGGCCAAATATTGCAGCTCTTTATCTAATCATATACAACGGTAAGAAAAAATCACTTCCTCTATACCTGGATATTAGCCTAGAAACTCAGGAGCTGGCAGACAGCAGTAAACAGGGCAATATGCATCACAAGTCCCCAGGTGAGGAAGGATCCATCCTGACTCCTTAGGGATAACTGAATTTATCTATTGGTGGTGGTTCATCTACGGTTTGTAAATCGCAGAATCTCTGCACTGAGATGGCAATCAGTAACACTGAAAGGGGAACTATTATGCTGAAGAAATGATGACGTCCTCAAAAACATCTTAAAAAAAAAAAAATCACTTCATATTTTCATTAATGGACTTGGCACAAAAAATACAAGTTTTCCAGTGAAATTAGCTAATGACAAAACTAAGAGGTATCATTAATATAAAAGGAGGATCAAGCTATCATACAGAAAAAAACTGGATAACACTGAGGAGTGGAATAACAGAAAGGAGATGAAATTCTGCAGTACAAAAATAAGGCCACGCACTTGGAACATAATAAGAATTATTTCTTAGCTGGCAGCTCAGCTGGAAACAGAAGAACAATGACTAATACACCTTGGTCTATTACAGAATAACTATGAATTCCGATGTGATGCAGCCGTAAAACAAACAAACAAACAAAAAATAGCCCAACCCCCTTCCCCTCCTCCCTACCAAAAATGTAATTCTAGGATATATCAGTAGTTATTTCCAAAAGAAACAGGGACGCATTAATATAATTTTACAAGGCACTGGTTACACCTTATCTGGAACACTGCGTGCAATTCTGGTCACCTGTGCTCAAGAAGAAATTAATTCAAATTGGAGGAGGTATAGATTAATACAACTATAATCAAGGGAATAGAGAGTATCATGTGTGAAGGGACTACAGGAGCTTGACTGATTTAGCCTAGCAAAACAAAGGCTCAGAGGCTATGACTGAGGTAAATGCTAGGGATGGAAAATGCTGGCACCATAACAAACGGGTATAAGCCGATCATAATCAAGGCTGAAAATAAAGTGTTAACTACCGAAACAGTGAGATTCTGGAACAGCCTCCCAATCAGTGTAGCAGGGACAACAAATCTAGCTATTTTAAAGAAGGAGCTTGATTAAATTATGTGGCACGGTTGCCTGTAATCGCAGAGGACTGCATCTAAAGACCCAGTGGCCCCTTTCAGGCCTACAATCATCTTTAAATGAGGTCTATAAAAAAGGAAGAGGTATATACAAGTAAGGTATTAGTTCTCCTGGGATTAAAAAACATCTTCCCCAAGAATAGAAATCATGGAGTGGGATCAAAATGGATCCATTTTATGTTTACTTCACCAATATAGTCTACCACATCTCTCAGTGTGCGCTGTGTATATTCAGAAATCTAACTTCAAGACCTGCAATACAATGCTCCTACAGGAGACACCCAAATTGCCCTTTGAAAAGCTCTGGGGAAGCATCCTTCATTCATTCCTGAAAAGGGTCTATTTTTACAGCCCTCAGCGCATGTTGATTTAAGCACAAGATCAGGATCAAACAAGTTTCATCCCAGATCACAAAAACTGTCATGCTGTGCCATGTGTGCATGGCAAGACACGTGATTTTTTGGATGTGGAATAAAATTCATCAGATCCCAATTAGGCAACAGGCAGATGGGAAGCTTGGCCACTGATGCTATGCTTCCCACAGAACCCTTTAGATTTGCTGGCACATGGGCTCCAGACACTTCAGCACCTAAAGCTCCTCCACCCCCAGCTGCCAGCACCATGGAGCTGGGGGGGTGAACAAATGGGGACAGGCAAATGTGGAACATTTTTGTAGCTGGTTTCTTGTTTCATTGCATCTTTAATTGTTTGAACATATGGCAGGGTTACTACTTATGATGAGATTAACACATTAATCACACCTTAAGTGCAACACCTGCAGGGCCCCAGAACAAACTGGGGGGCAAACATTTCATGCAAATAAGGCATTAACACATTCAGCATGTAAACGCTCTACCTTTTTAAATGTCACTTTGAGAAGGATCATACAGGTAAAGAAAATACTCAACATTAATGTAAAAACAATTCCAAATGAGAGCATATGTCCACTTTCATGCTACACAGTTTGTAACCTGTGTAAAATAAGCCTGTGTTGTGTTCCCTGATCCCTTCCCAATCTGTTGCATTACATACACACAAGTTGCCCATGCGACTTGTGGCATGCAGGTCATGGGCTGGCCACCCCTGCTCTAAATGATTAAATACACAAGGAAGATTCCTTAAATATTCTGTTCATGGGCATCTGACCAGAATAAAAAATGATCAGTTCAATCTGGTAACTGCTCTGCTTCCAAAAGTCTGCTTTAAAAAAAAAAAATAAATGAAATTTTACATCTGTAGATACAAAACAACTGAAACATCTCACAGAGAGCTGGAACATAAGCCCAAATACGTCACTGAAATCCTTTAAATTCTTCATGAGCCAGGCAGAGTATCAGACATTGCCATCTAATCAGCACACTGAAAAACTGGAACTCTGCTTAAGTTTATTGTAGTGCCTGCTGCATGTTGCTTCAATTGTCTGCTTGCAGGAGACCACTCTTTTTAACCTATTGCTCCTTAAAACAAATAAGGTTTCCAACCTGAAAGGGTATGATAAAACTATGACAAATGTTCAGAATAAAGTTGTCTTTGATTGCAACTTTGTTACACAGTTATATAAATTACCTCTATTATAAACAAGTACTAATGCCTAAAAATATCCAGCAGGAGGAGCAGGGACTTGTAAGTTTAATTACTCCTTGGGTACACTTAACACAAGTTTTATTTTGTATTTTTAAAAAAAACTCAAAAGTATGGTCACTGGGATAGAAGCCTTCAACACAAAGTTGATTTGAAGATAACTTTTATTCTATTAAATTGTGCTACAGCGTCCCCATCATCATATGGGTTGTTTAGAATTCTGGCAATTAGGGACTTGTCCAGAATCAGAAACACGGTCAAATTACAAAACAGAAAGGGAATTTTAAATGAAAAGGGAGCTGTGGAGAAGTACAAGTCTTTTTTGTTGGTAATGAGGACTGCAGATTACAGAGTAGAATAAATCCCTTGCTATTAAGTGACTTAAAGCACAGTACATAATATGCATGCAGTTCAGAGTAATTGTTACAGTCCCTATTTTAGCATGTCATTCTCAAAAAAGGGGAGTGCATAGAAGCGATGTCTGACAAGGACCTTCATTCCTATAAGCGCAACCAGAAAGGTTGTGAAATCTCCATCACTTGAAGTCTTTAAATGAGTTGCACAAAAACACTTGGCTGAGAGGGTTTAGACAGGTATGAACCAGCCTTGAGCAAAGGTTTTGGACTAATGACCTCCTGACCTCTAGTCCTATTTTTCTATAATTTTTTTTAAGTTTCTAAATGATAAATACATTATGTAGTGTTGGAAATATCTATTGATTACAAAGGGGGTCTTTCAGTACTAAGAAGCAGCTATAGGATTAACATAACTGGATAAATGCCATATTAATATTATGTACACTGCAACTAAAGGAAGTAAAAAGTCAGCAATTTGCCAGACATTTGAAAAGTTTAAATGACTTAAATTACCTGGATGAGGTCTTGAAAATGGTCCATCTTTAGCTTGAGTGACTCCAAAACACAGAAAAACCAATATACTGGCAACAATACCTCTGAAAATAAAGAACAAAAACTCTCAGTATACATTTAGACTATACCTCCCCTCCCCAAAGCCATGAAATAATTTAAAACTGCAGTTCTTCTAAGGCCAAGGACATCATGTTTCTACCCCTGTTAACCTCTAAATAACACCTATAGAACAATTTTTTTTTTTTTTACAGTTTTATTGTAAGGGAACTAGTATTAAGCCCTATATTTAGGTTAACAGTGGCTATTATTTAAAAGATGACTGAAGTTTTAACACCTTCTTTGTGGGCTAATGGTATTTGGGAAAAAAAAAGAAATCAACTGAAAAAAAGCCAGGAAGTTAAAAAAGAACCTTTGAGAATAAGTAAACACAAAATTCTGCCAGAAAAACTTTGGAGGGTAAACTAGAATTGTGTAGTAAACCTAAAAAACACGTGAGGATATTTTAAGGACATGCCCATTGTGCTGCTAAACCAGCAGCAGACAACGTACTGGGAGTGTCTGCTTGCTGCTAAAGCAGCAATAAAGTCGATTTGGAGGAAGATAACTAGGTCAGGCTCCTGACAATCCCATGGACCCAACCTCAGTACCCCAATCCCAACTCTGGATAACAGTTTTCTCCTACTGTTGGCACTGGCACTCCAGCAAACCCCAGACCAGATCATACAGCTCCACAGGCCAGACCCAGTCCATGTGCCATATGTTTGACACCCCTGCTTTACAGATTTTTTTTTTAAATTAGCAAATGTTACAACTTCAAGGCACTAAATCTACAGAACTAAATGAATATTGAAAACTTCCAATGTTCATTGAGTACAATCTGTACATGAAGTTTCACCTCACTTTATTTAGATTAATACAATTCTTTAAAACATGACTGCAAAAACTGACACCTCTTTGCTCAATGATAAATAAATAATAACAAATAAAAAATTAGAACTACAGAAGACCTGCTAACTTTGTCCTGAAGAGCCAACACCTTTAGCAGTTACCACCTGTCCAGGATGGTATCTTTATTTGAAGTTAGGGAAAAGTAAATTCTCTAATCTGAATGAAATGAATATCATTATCCACCACCTTGCTACCTTACACCTCTCTATCCTAGGAAATTCAGCAATCAGCATGCCATCAGTAACAGGCACTGCATAAACTCGTATTAAAAGATTTTTCACTAATCAGTTAGACTGAAGGAAAGAATTTACACCATTACAAAGCATAATCAACATCTATCAAATATGTCTATGACTGCCCCACTACTTTGTCAGTTTTAATTTCACCCTTTCACTTTAAGGACTTTAAGTAAAAATGTTGTAACTTTATTCAGACCAGTCTAAAAACAACTGATCAAGTAGTTGTATGCATAGGCTGAGGATTGTCAGTTAATTGCTACCACGTGAACCAAGGTTGGACCATTAATAAAGTTCAACTTTGTGCCGAATGAGTATAGTACAAGCACCATATATACTATAAATCTGTATACAGTAGTATGTTAGTTTAGAAGACAATATTTTGCATTAGAGTTTTTAATGCAGCTTTGATACTTTACTGTAATACAGTACCTGTTGGGGTGTTTGCTTGAGAATCACTGTGATTCCACGATACAAGGCCTTAATACATTTCCCCCATTATGTGGCCTATAAACAGGCTGGTTTTATTTGTGGGAAAGAGAATTGAGGATGATTCTACTCTTATTCAGACATCAGGTTTACACCAGCAATCTGTCTCCAAATAATGGAAGTGTCTGATGACTCTATAAATGTTTTTAACCTGTGCGAGATATTAGCATGTATAAAGCAGCTATATTAAATTATTTACGTTTAAATATTTGACAAGAAGATCCCGCAGAAGTAGATGGAGCACTTGCAACCTGACTTGACTACTAGCAAAGTTTGATTTAAAGTTGAGTAAGAAAATGGTTAAGTTAGAAGTTTTACAAATAAAAAAATTGATATCAACCAATATTAATACATGGGACCAATCACCTTTCACAGCCTGCAAGGCTGCAGTGCAGATTTATGTTACAGGTACACACTAGGGACAGTTACTAAACAAAACTGTTGATCTAGGGCAAGGGTCAGCAACTGCCAGCACGTGTGCCACAGTATGGCACATGAAGCCATTTTGCTCAGCACGCCACAGCTTGGCTCTGGGCAGGTCCCTGCCACCGGTCACAGATCCCAGGCAATATGGAGGCTTCAAGCTCTGCTGTAAGCAGCTCAGGTTTCACAGCAGGTGGCAGGAGCCTGCTCAGAGCCTAGGCTGCCTGTAGTAGGTAGCCACAAGGCTACAAGTGGCTGCACCAGGATCTGGAGCCCCAGCCTGGCTCACTGCTGGTGGCAGCTGCACAGGTGCCTCACTCAAGGGGCCTGGTGGGGAAGGGCTGGGGCTAAGCTGCCACAACAAGGACTGGGCCCCTTGTGGTTCCTCCACCATTCGACCCTGGCACGCCAACATCTTCTAAGTGGAGGTTGCAGGGGGTTTTTTGCCACCCCTTGATACAAGACATAACTTTCTTACCAAGCTCTCTAAAGACAAACCAAGCATTTACAATCTAGTAGGTCCCAAATAATCCAATTATATTCTTTCTCCGTTAGAGTTATGCTCTTACATGTCACACACATTCCAACACTGCCTGACTGCGTATTTACATCTAAACTGACTCAGTACTTGTATCGTGCCATGATGCAAGTTTCCTTGTTTACTATCATTCTGTTTAGCCCAGAACTAAGTATTCCAAGTGATTCCTTCATGTCATCAAAGGGATAACTGCTGTGGAGCCTTACAGTACAGACCTGCACATAAAATCTATTTTAATAGCAGATGGCAATAAAATCAGCTGTAGGGTTGATTACAATTTTCTTTTAAACTGCAGCTAGGTGCAAGAAATTATGCAACACCAAAAAACCCATGTGGCAGAACTGCTACTGATACTCCCCAGGCTCACATTTCTGTCTTAGATATCAGTATAGTGTACAGCAGTGATTCTCAACCTATTTTGTACCAGGACCCATTTGTAAACATCAATGGCCAGTCCTGACCCAGTTTGTAGGGCAGGGGAGGGTCTGATCGGCAGGGGGTGGGCCCAAGCAGCCCCTTGCAGGCTGGAACTCTGCCAGCATGCAAGGGAAAAGCCACCATTTCCCACATTTTTCTGCTTTAAATGAGAATTAATTTTGTTGATCTGTTTTTAAAGTTTGCTCATGACCCTGCTGTACAGTATGCTACACAGTGTAACAAGGCAGCCTGAACCTTCAGTGAATGCCCCCAGCTTGCACCCTCTTGCTATTGTCCTTCTGGTTTATCATGAAATGAAAGAAAGGCTTGATTAGGCTTCAGAGAGTTGGTTAAAAAAAAACAAACAAAAAAACAACTGACATAGTTAACTTAGAGACCAGCTAATTTATGTATTTTCTTGGATACCTGCAACAAAATACTGAAGTACAGTCATTAAAATAATTTTAGTGCTCAATGATGTTTAAGAAAAAAAAAAAAAAGAATACAAAATGGAATACAGCAACCACTTTACCATGACTAAGAGCCAATTCAGAGAGCCAAAGCAATGAGATGAGTCTGTGCATGTGGCCGCATGCCATCCTTTGTTCTTAGGTTTTAAACTCCACAGGCCTTGTGCCCTGTCCTCCGCCTGGGTGTACTGTTTTTTTCCACTTTCCCTTCATTGCGTCACCAATGGTGCAATCTATCTGTGGTATCAACAACTGTGAAACAGGAACACTGGCAGCTTCAATCTTACAGTCATGATTTTTAAAAATTATGAGTAGGTCTACATGGCAGTGGTCAAAACAGCAACAGCTTGTGTACTCTATGACACCTGTTTTTTGCCATCTCTGGAGCTGTGATTGAGGGATATAGTTCAAAGAAAACCACGGTAGAGAAAGACATCTGAGAAACGGATGTCTAATGACTTGAATCATGATTTGGTATCCCAATATATTATATTCAAGTTACTAAAAAGGCACACAACTGTTTTTATTAGATGTTTGGAAGACGGGATAGAAGAGGGGATAGAAAAAGGCTACTATATAGCTGCAAAGAGCCACCAGAGACTTGCGTCCATTCATGTTCTAAAAGCAACAATATGGAAGTTGAAAGAACCACTCATTTAAACAAAGAGTAATTTGTATGAAAGGCAAAAAATGGGCATGTAGTCCTTTACAATCCTGATCTGCCAATGGGCTGACTACTACAGTATAACAGCAAGAGTCAATGAAACCCTAACTTTGGATGTCTGTATTAGATGTCATGTGGAATGCCTTCAAAGCATTTCTTCCCTCTAAAGAAGGCGGGCCAGTGTGGCACCTTAGAGACTAAATGGTTCAGAAAGGCATATTGGGGTTCTTGGTTGTAGCTGTGTTGGTCTAAGGACATAGGCAGACAAGGTTCTTTGCGTAAATGTGCTATCTTTTATTAGACCAACTAAATAGTTGGCAAAACTGTTCTTTGCAAGCTTTTGGATACAAACACCCTTCTTCAGGCACAAAGCAACAACATACTCTCCCTGTGTCTAAAGAAGGGTGTTTGTACCTGAAAGCTTGCAGAGAACAATTCTTCCAATTATTTAGTTGGTCTAATAAAAGATAGCACATTTACCCAAAGAACCTTTTCAGAGAGGTATATGCTTTTGTAGATGTATCCTTGTCCTATCTTGCCTCCATCATCCTCCATTATCAGCCCAAGGTATGACACTTGCTGGAAAAGATTAACCTGATGTGGAGCTCATGCCAATCAAGCACCTTAATGATAAGATACGCTGTTTCAACAGAACAAACAGTCCTTCAGCTAACAAGATAAGGCATTTGAAAATGCTCATCAATGGGACCTAATCTATTAGCATGCATGACATGATCAGATTATAACATGGTGGCCTTGTGCAGGGAGTCTAACAATACTAAATTATATTTAAATTTTTCACATATAAATTTTGAAACGTTTCACCTCTCTTTGTGTGTTCCAGAAAAGGAGCCTGGTGTTCACTTGCCAGCACACACAGTAAAACTGTTAGGGCATA